TATAAATACAAAATACACACACACACACATTGTTATAGACTAGATAAAACTATAAAAGTTTTAAACTATGAAATTCTTCTCATGCAAATGAACTCAATACTGAATGCTTTTTTTTTTTTTTTCCTTTTTGTCTTTTTTCGTGACCGGCAACGGATCGCAACCCTCGGTGTTGCTCCCGCACCTCGCTCAGCCAGTGAGCGGCCGGTCTGTATGTGGGATCCGAACCCTCGGTGGGAGCGCCACCGCGCTCCCAAGCGGCGCACTGTAGCAGTGCGCCACCGGGCCGGCCCAATACTGAATGCTTTTTGCACAGAGACAATCCTCCATGTTTTTTTCTCCCCAAAGGAAACCTTAATTGTTAATTAAATTGAAATTTAAATCATAACCAAATCTGAATGTCTAATAAAGTCCTTTCATCACTCTGTTGTCCTTCAGTCATCTTTTACTCTATCTGGTATTTTATAGATATTATTTCATTGGAATATTCAGGTACCCAAAATGTATCTTTTAATTTTCTCCCATTTAAGTGACCTACGTTTCTATAGAAGGGGTGGCAAACTGAATTAGCTAAGTGTTGAATGAACATGACATTCAGAGAAAGCAGCTAAGAGAGTCTCTTCTTTGTAATGAGGTAAGTTTGAAAAGAAAAGGTACAGTCAGATGGCAGAAAGTCTCCAGACTAAAGGGTTTGAATGTCTGCTTATAAACAATGGGAAGTTACTAGAGGTCCTTTAGCAGAAAAGTAACAAGGGGAAAGTGGTATTTTTAGAAACACTAATTTCAGAACTGTATGTAGAATAAACTGCAGGAAAGAAGACCAGAAATAAGGAGACTGTAATGCCCAACAGGGAATAAAAAGCAAAGCAAAGCAAAACAAATCAGTTTAGATGAAAGGGACTGCTAAGGGAAAAAAAAAAAAGCCCAAGAGCCTGTACTGGTGATGAATGTAGGGAAGAATGAAGAATCTAAGATGCCTTTGGAGTTTCAAGGCTAAGTAATTTGGGAAAATAGTGTATTCCCTGGATAGAAAATGAAAACAGGAGCTAGTATGGGATAGGTAACATGAGCAGCTTGACATGTTGCCTTGAAGATTTCAGGAGGATCCAACTAGAGAGATTTAGAGAGAAATTAGCACTATAAATAGATTTGAGACACAAGATTATGAGCTTATATTATCAGTTCATTACTAAAAGTTTGTTGAGACAAAGCAGGTGAAGGGTTAGATCTTACTTTTGAGGGCAGGAAAAAAGACAGTGAGGAGGCAGTGTAGAAAGGATGCAGTATAGGAAGGAAGGGGCGGTATCGCTAATGAAGGGATGGGAAGGTTAGGAAAACGCAAATGTCACAGAGAAGCCAAAGGACACAGGAAATGAGAACATACTCTCACATTTGACCAAAAGAGAGTGGCTTACATTACAATGGTGGAAGAAGCAGCTTCAGAAATTATAGGGTATTTAGGGGAAAATGGTTATTAAGAAAGTGAGTATTAGGTACTCAAAGTCTGGGAATAAAGAAGGCAAGATTGTAGTAACAAGTAAAAGAATCGTCAGTAAAGATTTTCAACAAAAGGAACTAAGACATAAATTTTCTTTTTTCTTCAATTAAGAAAACAGCTCCTTTAACATTTTACTTACACATAAATACAAAATACACACACACACACATTGTTATAGACTTTTTGTTGTTACTAATTAAATACAACTTTAGTTATTCTTAGCATCTACATATATATGCCCTAACGAATGATTTAGTGGCAGCTTTTCCTATCCCTTAAAAGTTTCATACTCTAAGGAACAGTATTCTCAAAGACATCTTTACCAATCTCCCTTGGAAAATACAAATATATACGTACACACACATACACATAAATAACCTCTTTAAAGGGACCACCTTCAAGAGATTAAACTCCTTTAATTGCTGAA